ATAAGGGCTCTCAAAATATTCCTTCAAAATGTGAAGGTGATGTTTGCCATCAATGTGGTATGAAAATAATAAGCATGCTCATATGATTATAGTCCACTTGAAGAGAATGTGACTTATGATATGTGTTGTAACTGCAAACTTATTCTTGAAAGTGAATGTGAAAATATATATGTGATTCAAATTATGCATAAGAATGTGCTTATGCAAGATTGGATGAATACCACAACTCACCTCTAAGGGAGGTTTGAGAGAAATAAAGATAATGGATATTACAATATGGTTCATGAATATGTCATTGGTCGCGTACATATGGTACGTAAAAAAAATATTTTACCATGCCTTATAAAAGATTATTAAAGGAAAAATTAAAGAAATAAATGATTTTGCTATGATGATTTGACCATGACAATTATTATGAAATAATTTTCTCCGTAAAGGAGACATTCACCATATGGATGATGTGATAAAAGATCTTGTAGTACAAAATTAAGAGTTTCAAAAGAATTAATTTGTTACTACCGAGATGAATGAAATTGTGCATGGCATTGATATTGTAATAAATCTCAAAAGAAACTTTTTGAATTTCAAATGTATTAGCCAAAGTGGTTGGCATATTGAGACTATAAATGAAAGGAAGATTGGATATCTTTATATTACTATAATCATACGGGATAAATATGTAAGGTTACCCGATTTTTCTTCTATTTGTATCACATGTATAAGCATGATGATGGAATCACATGCCACAAGTAAACAAGAGGTATACTGAAACAAATATTAGTTGGCATGATCGGTTAGCCATCCCGGTTTATTGATGCGAAAATTAATTGAGAATTCACATTGACATATATTGAAGAAATAGAAGATTCTTCAAGAATTCTCTTGTGCTGTTTTTTCTCATGATATACCAGTTAAGATTGGGATTGAATCATTTGATATCTGGAACGAATAAAAGGTGATATATATGTATGGGCTCAATCACATGCCATGTGGGCCGTTTACTATTATATTGTTTTAATAGATGCATCTATTGTATGATCACATGTGCATTTGTTATCAACTTGCAATTTGGTTTTTGCAAGATTACTTGCTCAAACTATTAGAGCACAGTTCCAGAATATAAATTATGATAATTTATGTTGATAATGTTGGTTTAAATCCAAGTTAGTTTAGTAGAAATTGTATGCCTCCAATTAAGCAAAACCATTGGTTATGAGAACAAAACTCTCAAATAGAAATTTAGTATGAGGTGTATTATTTAAGATACAACAACACCTTGTACGCATCTTGCCAATAAGTTATGATAAATACTCCCTATCACAATTGGTTCAGAGTCAAGAACCAAATAATTTCCATCTAGAAATATAGATGTGCTATACGATTTAATTATCCCACCATAATACACAAATATGGATTCCCAAAGAAGGTTGGAAAATGTGTTGGTGATCCAGCATTAGGGGAGAAAATGGGCAGCGGAAAAAGTAAAACATGGAATGAATTATTGTGAGTGCCCCTAGATCCTCTTACAAGAAAATGTGAACTTGAAGTTCAAGTGAAAATACATTTGTAAAATATTGACAGGCGCATTTGTTGACCCAAAGATAAATGTTATATTTCAGCTACTAATGCTCCAAATAGAATAAACTCCATGATGGACAACACATGAAACGTAGTAGACTAATCTGTTCCAACGATAAAACTCCTTGAAGAAGGAGAAGAGCAAATGATAAAGATGGTCATACTAAGGAGGCAAGTGCTATATAAGAGCATCACGACATAACAATTTATAAGACCTCATGGGAGAGGCTCAGACACCTGAAAATAATGAGATCTCGATAAGTTATGTCTTTATTGTGTGATGATGGAACCGATGTAAAATGATCATCGATGATATTGTTGATATAATGTAGCGCTCAATATTATTAATATTGACGAGGATCTTGAGTTTAAATCTGTCATGAAATTTGAACAGATAAATGATTGGCCAAATGAAAAATACGTAATGAAAATTGACTTCACCTGAAAAATGTGAAGTTGGACAGATAGTCCCAACGCCTGAAAGTAAAATGAAAAATCAAGTCTACAGGCATAAAGACGACTTGTAGCACAAGATTTTTCGTAAATATTTCGGCATTAGTTATATGAAGATATGTTCTCCTATGGTGGATGAAATCCTTTTCAGGTTTTAATTTAGCAATACATGAAAAACTTGATATGCGTATAATGAAAATCTTTGAAGGATTTAAATTGTTAAAGTTTCAGTAGATCCTTATGTGGATTAGACTAATCATGGTGTACATGATTTATTTGTGTGTCTAGTGCAATTGGTGCACTAATGTATTTTGCTAGAACCATAAGTATAAAAATATTCTAGCGAGATATAGTTTTACTCCTATGTATATTGAAATACAATTAGTGTTATATTGCAAAAGGAATTTATGATATAAATTTGTTTATTCTAACAGATATTATCAAGGTTTTGGTGGTTATGCAAATGCAGGCATTTTCTAAAGCTCATTCTGTATGTGAGGGTACTGCCATATTATTATTTCACAAGGCAGTCAATTGTTGATATTTATCCAATTCATGTCAACATACTAGCAACTGATAAAGCAAGTGACTCAACACACAACAGATGGGTGACTTTTCCTTGAAGAGACGATTCCAATAATAGTGAAAACGATGATATTTGTTTATCTCAATTGAAAGAAGGATATATCGAAAGAGATAAAAAAAGTATATTTCACCAAAGTTCTATTTTAGACATGATCGTTGTTCAACAAATTTGTTCAAGTGATAACTTGACAAACTTCTTCACAAGGCATTGCCGATCTCAATATTAGAGAAGTTGTTATACAAGCTTGGAATTCGTCGTCTCCGAGAAACAAAAGTGATGTTTTCATCAGGGGGAGACAAATACGCGTTGTACTCTTTTTCCCTTAGCTAAGGTTTTATCCCACTAGGTTTTCCTGGCAAGGTTTTTATTGAGGCAGCAAGTAATGCGTATTACAAGATATGTGTACTCTCTTTCCTTCACTAAGATTTTTTCCTACAGGATTTTTTCGAGGCACATTATTTCAAGACATCCAAGGGAGAGTGTTATGAAATACATATTATATGGATGTCCACTAATCAAGTATAACTCCCACTACTCTTCTCCATTATGTAGATAATCCCCACTACTTCTCATCATTACAATTGTAACCCCCACACCTCCATAACCTCCCCATGATCTTCCCCATGTTCTTAATAATTAATACCATATTCGTCACATCCCTTTGTATTACCTCAATGTCATTCTATAAATAGAGGGTTCATGCATCACATTGTACATACTTGACACACTTGAATACATGGAAGAAATTAGAAGTTGTCATCTCTTACTCTCTACATTTTTGTCTATTTTCTTGTTTTATTACTTTGATCTAAGTTTCGTAATATATTAATTATAAAGCAATATAAAATTTGCCGATTATTGAATGAACAACTATTTGGGTTAGTTCTTAAATTCTTAAAAAGAAAAAAGAAGACCAAAAAAGAAGACAAAATTACATAATAATGCACTCCATAAGTTGACCTTGCATTATTTTAGTCCACTTACAAGTTTGCAAATGTTTAACCAAATATCAATAAGCTTAGATCCGAAAAAAAATTTAGTTTTTTTATTCTCTATATCTTCAAGCGTGAATATTTCCATTCTCCTTTTTCCTCAAGTTTCTACATACCTATCACAACTACGAAAATTCACAAACAGACGCAAGAAATCTAAAATCTCATCTTCTTTAATGCTAATCTTGTTAGTTTTTTAATATGATTTTGTGAGAAATTTGGAGTGGGTATTGTTTGAACTTATTAAAATTAGTCTAAGTAGATTGTAAACAAAGTTTGAAGTCATTTAATGGAGATTTGGAATAGTCTTAATCAAGAATTGCAAGTGAAATCGTACAAAAAATTCGTCAGAGATGCTTATACACTTTTATACAATATTATACATTTTTATACACTTTTATACAATATTATACATTTTTATACAAAGAGGTATATTATATATATAGTTGTATAAAAGTGTATAAAAATGTATAAGCACAATAGTGAAAATGTTAGTGATACACCATGTATATAGGTGTAGCAGTTGTTGAAGAAGAAGAAGAAGAGATGTGAGAAATCCACGAAATACCTGTAAATAATGTATCAGCCTTGTATAAAATAATGTATAAGAGGTGTTTATACACTATTATACAATATTATACATTATTATACAAATGAATCCTATTAATGGAGTTTCACTGTTTCTTATTCTTCTTTGGGCATTTTCTGAGATTCAACTCAAATCTACCTTAAATATGCTCCAAAACACTTCAAATTTGAGTTTTAAACTCCCCTTGACGATCCCAATCAATTGGGTCAACTCCCAATCCAAACAACTAACAAAATCGAAAAATCCAATTTCTGAAATTGAAGCTTCGAATGACCTTTAATAGTGACTCCAAAAATAATAATTCTTTTAAGTGGTATTTTTTCTCCTCATCTTAATAGTGATTATCAACTTTGAATCTGGAAGGAGAATTGAAGAATATATATAATGGTAGAGAAATTTTGGGGTGCAAAGTCGTAAAAGAGGAAGAATAAGAACGAAGAAAAGAAAAAATTAACTAAATAAGATAGGCTAATCGGTGAAAAATAATTTTCAAATTATGAATAACCTGAGCCATATCAGGTAAGAGCTTCAAACGTGAGCCATTTTTTGATGGACCGTTGGACCAATTGACAAGGAGCTTAATTCCCAAAAAAGAACTTCAGGTAGGTACGTTAGCCGCTGCTTATCACATGACTATATATCTGTATGTGAAGTTTCCATCAAAACAATAAGAAGAAGGGTAATTGCGTAAATGTAGAAAATGGAATATCCACCAATAAACCCTCTAATCCAATTTTGTCATGTTCCCCAAATGGAGGGAGAAAACAAAACCTGAAAAAGAAAAAAAATAAAATAAAAGATTTCTTCTCATTATTTCAACTTTTCAGGTAAGCGCAGAGTCGCAAACGAAAGGTTGTTCTTCGGACAAAGCTATAAAAAATCAAAACTGATAGGAAGAGCCAATAAGCAAAGTCAATCCAATCATTTTCTGACCTAATTTTCCGCCATAGATATTCTTCTCTCAGAACTCGAAACTGTCACTTCTATCGGTAAATTCAAAGTTCTCTCAAACTCTTCTCTTCTTTCTTACTTTCATTTTCACTACTGTCAACTTTAACTTCAGTATATGTATCGAAACGGAATGTTGATTAATTGCGAAGTCACTTTCAGTTTTTTCAGCTCGCAAATATTTGTTGTGGTGATTTTAACTGATTGTTTGTGGCTCCTATGAATTAATTTTCACTTGTTTGTTGATTGAAGTTGAAAACTTGCGTTATTTGTTTTTTTAGGTGTTTGATTTTGAGGTAATGAGAATTGGCGGCATTGTTTTGGTGTATTTTTGACGTTTAGTGTGTTAGAGGAGAGGAGGATGGGCTTTGCTTACTGTTTATGGCAGCCGAATGCTTCGCATTGTGGTGAAGCTTTGAACTACAGGATATTAGATAGGAAAAGCAGCTGTGATGTAGGATTGAATCATAAATTGCTTGGAAATGCTAGGGTTTTATGTAAGAATAGGCTGGGGAAAAGGTTGAAACGGAGTGTGGCCTGTAGTGATAATAGTTTAGCATATTCAAGGATACGATTTAGTTGTGCTTTGTGGAAGTCTGATTCGAGTGGGAATTTGATGCGCCGTAAGGCTTCTAGGGGAGTGAAATTGCCTTGGTGTCAGGGAAATGATTCAGTTGCGTTTATCGATGGTAATGGTAGAAATGTGGAGGCCAGTGAGAGTACTGAAGATGGAGCTCTGAGTGCTAATACTAATGGAATCGCGGAAATTAGTTGCGCAATTGAGTTGGAGGAAGATAAAGAAGAAGAAACAGAAGGAGATAATCTGGAAGAACTAAGGGAGTTGTTGCAGAAGGCACTCAAGGATTTGGAAGTTGCACAGCTGAACAGCACAATGTTTGAGGAAAAAGCGCAGAAGATATCAGAAGCTGCTATAGCGTTAAAAGATGAAGCGGCTAATGCCTGGGATGATGTAAACAAACAACTTGATAGTGTTCAAGAGATTGTAAGTGAAGAGATGGTCGCTAAAGAAGCAGTTCAAAAAGCAACAATGGCCCTTTCTTTTGCTGAGGCAAGGCTTCAGGTTGCTCTTGATTCAGTACAAGCTGCAAAACAAAGAATTATGTCTTCAGAAACGTCTGAAGATAGCAAAGGGGAAGATTCAACTTCATTGATGGAGGAAGAGGCAGCACTCTTAGCTGCTCAGGAAGATATAAAGGAGTGTCTGGACCGTTTTGGAAGTTGTGAGGCTGAGTTGAGGCGTCTGCAGAATAAAAAAGAAGAGCTGCAAAAGGAGGTTGACAGGTTGAATGAGCTAGCTGAGCAAGCACAAAACAATGCTTTAAAAGCTGAGGAAGATGTTACAAACATAATGCTTTTAGCCGAACAAGCTGTTGCTTATGAGCTGGAGGCTACTCAAAGGGTCAGTGACGCGGAGATCGCTTTGCAGAAAGCCGAGAAGAACCTAGCTATATCAATTGTTGACTCCCCAGAAACTTCAGTTTTACAGAATGGATCATCTACTCAAGGGCAAGTGTTGGTCGATGGGACCCTTAGTGAGGATGAGGTACACCCTAGAAATTCAGTCGATAGTGTTATTGAAATAGATAGGGAGGTACAACTGGAGGATGCTTGGGCGGCAAGTGGGCCTTTGTCAACTGAGGAGTCACGTATCTCTGATGAGAGTGACGAAGAAGATAGAAAGTTAGTTCTAGACTCCTCAAAAGATTCTGATTCTGATACAGAAAAACCAAAAAGTGTTCAAAATCTGAGGCAGGAGGTCAACAAGGAATCAGCTAGGGACAGTTCACTTAACGCTCCCAAAGCATTATTGAAGAAATCATCCCGTTTCTTGCCTGCATCTTTCTTCTCATTTCCCACAGATGGTGAAGAGTTCACACCTGCTTCAGTTTTCCACAATCTCATGGAGTCTGCAAGGAAGCAATTGCCCAAGCTGGTGGTTGGCTCATTACTGATGGGAGCAGGGTACAAATACTATAAAACTGTTCATATTTTTTGCTTTTGAAAGATGAAGCTATTTCTTTCTAGCTGCATGTATAAGTGCCTCGTTAGGATACAATCTTTGTACCATTAGATTGGTATACCTTGTTTATGGTACTTGATATGCTTTTGACGTCTGTCACAGAATTGCCTTTTACGTCAATCGATCAGAGCGAATTTCTCAGTCGTTTCAGCAGCCAGACATCATTACCACCAGCATTGATGAGGTTTCAACAAATGCAAGACCTCTGGTTCGACAAATAAGAAAACTGCCCAAGAAACTTAAGACACTAATGGAGATGCTTCCTCATCAAGAGGCATGCTTCTTTAACTCCCTTTAGTTTAATGCCTGCAATCACCATTTGGTATAGGAGGGGGCTTTACTTCTACTTGCTAATGGTGTTGTTGCTCATTTCAGATAAATGAGGAGGAAGCTTCTCTTTTTGACATGTTATGGCTATTGCTCGCAAGTGTTATCTTTGTGCCTATCTTCCAGAAAATTCCAGGAGGTAATTGAATTTTGCTACCTTCTTTTAACGCATGAGGAGGCTTATTATGTTAAATTGTTCACCAAACTTGTTCTTGATGTAAAGGTTTCTTCGTAGGTCTTTCCTTGAACATGTTCTAAAAATTGAAACATTATATTTGATTATTAGACACTTAGTTTTCGGTGACCTTGATGTATGTCACAGATATGTGCCCTTTGCTCCTCTGCGACAGACGTACTCTTGTTTCCTGTTAATGGTTCATCTTCTGTCTGCTATAATGTATAGGAAGTCCTGTCCTTGGGTATTTGGCTGCTGGAATCTTGATTGGACCCTATGGTCTTTCTATCATACGTCATGTACATGGGACCAAGGCTATAGCTGAATTTGGAGTTGTCTTCCTGCTATTTAACATTGGCCTAGAGGTACAGTCTAGGAAAATTGACTAGTTCATTTCTTTCTGAATGTGTTACAAATACTGCCTTAATAACCTCTGTTTGTATTCTCTTTGACAGCTTTCCGTCGAGAGACTAAGTTCAATGAAGAAATACGTTTTTGGGTTGGGTACTGCTCAGGTAATTGTAAAAAATTGAGCACTTGGGAGTTGTTAACACCCCTCCATAATGTTTATAGAGTATGGTCTCAACGTTTTAGGATTCCACACTCATTTTTAATATATTCAAATGAACGCAGGTCTTAGTGACAGCTGTTGTGGTCGGGTTAGTTGCTCATTTTGTTGCCGGGCAGGCTGGACCTGCTGCAATAGTGATTGGGAATGGTCTTGCCTTATCTTCCACTGCGGTTGTCCTCCAGGTAAATCCTTCTATATATTTAGCAGGTCTTCCTTGCTGGATGAATGATGGGCGATTTAGCGCTTGAGTAGTTTGTTGTACTCATTAAGTACGTTGATTTGGTGACCGTTTCAACACTCTAAAGTTAATGCTTAAGCAGGCAATATTATTATGCTATGTTCCCCAAAAGTCCAGAAGCTATAATGCTAGATAAGGGTTGATGCCGAGATATCAAATCAGCATTGGAGTTTTTCTTATCATTTCCTTGTTGAGTCAACATATTTACTACAATCCAAGGAATTGTAGTTTATCTATAATTGGCTTTGTCTATGTGCCTGTGATCCTCCCTCGTCGAAAAATGAAACCTTAGTAATTAATTGATTATGTTGCATATCTGCAGGTATTGCAAGAGCGAGGTGAGAGCACATCACGGCATGGACGAGCGACATTTTCTGTATTACTCTTTCAGGTATCGGCATAGAGACAGTACAAAACTGTCGCCTCTCTCTCCTGAGATGGGTGAAACTTGGAATATTATGTGTATCTATGCATACACGCGAATCACATATATTTACTTGCCATCACATATAGGCTGCTCTCATGCACGTGAAATGATAACAGCCAGTGCTGCGGTACTTATAGATTTTTCTTTCTGATACGATTAACCAAATTCTTCCCTTTATCCTTCAGGATCTGGCGGTGGTTGTTCTACTCATACTGATACCACTAATTTCACCAAATTCATCAAAAGGAGGGGTATAGACTCTTTTACAGTCTTGTCTTCTGGAAAAATTATTTAAAATTTTCGTGTTTATTATAATTACGATTCCAGCTATGTGAACTGGACCTGTAATATTCACCAAACTGAGAGCCAATAGCTAATCCCCTAAAATCACATGTGGAAACAACATTCTTTGCTTTTGATAGCTGTGAGTTACACTATAGCTGTTTTCTCAAACTGCCACTATTATAACAGAACTTATTTCTTCTTAGGTTGGTTTCGGAGCCATAGCTGAGGCCCTTGGTTTGGCTGCTGTAAAGGCAATTGTAGCCATCACTGCCATTATTGCTGGAGGACGTCTGGTAAGCTGTTTGTTCATGTAGAATCTCTTCCAGTATTATAATGTTTATGATTAGTATATAGTTTAAGTTCTAACTACATCTCTTACGATATTTTCAACTTTAGACTTTCATTTGCTGTTGTCTATACATTATTAAAGTAGGTTTTGATATTTATCTATTGCGAAATATAAATAGGGTTTAATTCGGTTTTTCATTTTGCAAGTCCTGTAAGATACATTGCTGTTAAATGTGAGGACAATAATATTTTCGTTCTCTGCTCCAATTTCAGCTGCTGCGGCCTATTTATAAGCAAATTGCAGAAAACCAAAATGCAGAAATATTTTCGGCAAATACGCTTCTTGTTATCCTTGGGACTAGTCTTCTGACAGCCAGGGTACTTATGATCACATTGTTTATGTGTTCATGTATACTGCCCAATTTTTCTTAGAACTGTTATCTTGTTAACACTATGATGTGTTATCTGATGTAAATAATGCAGGCTGGCCTCTCAATGGCTTTGGGTGCATTTTTAGCTGGTTTGCTTCTGGCAGAAACTGAATTTTCATTGCAAGTTGAATCAGATATTGCTCCATATCGTGGACTCCTATTGGGTCTCTTTTTCATGACGGTAGGTGACAATCTTGTTTATTGTACAATGCGAATGCTATTTTCTAATCCTACAATTTGTCATTTGGAGTTAAGGTAGAATAGGTCTTGGTAAGGTGCTATTTACATTTAAAGATTCTAGCTCTGCAATCTCTAGTGTTTTCACCAACCTGTAGACCTTAACTGTCTCTCCTGAGTTGTTCTCTTTGAATGAATGTACTACTCAGTAACATTTTTCTATTTTAATCAACTTCTATCCAGGCTGAAGGGAGAATCGTTTATGAATAAATTATTATAACTATTGCTGCTTTGTGACTTCAAAACTGAACAATTATCATCTGGTTGCAGGTTGGAATGTCCATTGATCCCAAGCTTCTTCTTTCAAACTTTCCAGTTATTATGGGCTCATTGGGACTTCTAATTGGTGGCAAGACCATCTTGGTTGCGTTAGTTGGTAAACTGTTTGGTATTTCAATTGTATCGGCAATAAGAGTTGGTCTCCTACTTGCTCCTGGTGGAGAGTTTGCCTTTGTAGCTTTTGGTGAAGCTGTTAACCAGGTTTATCTCTGATAGCTTTAACCTATTACAAGCAATTCTGAGCCGTTGATAAAATTCTTTTATTCCATTTCTTTTTCTCCGTTCTATTGCTATGCTGTTCAAACAGCATCTTCCTTTATCAAGGAATTGTGGACCTTTTCTACAATTGACCTGTGTGCTGAAATCAAATGTTGAGCTAGTGAGATCCTGTTATTGGGGAAGTGGAGACAAACTACCATCAAATCCTTCCAGTTTCTATCTATGGCCGCCGTCTTACTTCTATTTACAAATCCTCTTAGAGACTTGTTCTTTCTCATAGCTACCCTTAAATAGATTAAGAGCTGCAACATATCTGAACAGTACAGTGCTAAGCTCTCTGAGGATCTTTGCCCCATGATAAAAATATATCTTATTAGAATAAGTTTATTATCTTATTTAATTAAATTTTCTCCATGATTTTGCTTTTCTTTTTCCAGGGTATAATGTCTCCTCATTTGTCATCTTTGCTATTTCTTGTGGTTGGAATTTCAATGGCCCTCACGCCATATCTAGCTGCTGGAGGCCAATTAATAGCATCTCGTTTTGAGCTGCACGATGTGCGAAGTTTATTGCCTGTGGAAAGTGAGGTATAGTCTCCTACTTGGTGGCACAATCTCTCTTACTTTGGTTTTAAGCGAGAATAAACCATTTACATGTTTGTAAAATCTTGTTTTCTGACAGTTTGGTTTCAGGTTGTCAATAGTAACAGGGTATTGGAATTAAAGGATTAAGGTTAAGGGGTCTTAATAGTTAATACTGTTGTTAAAAAAAAAGCAGTTGTGGAGACTAGGAAAACTGGAATGTTGGTGATAGAAAAGCTTCCCTTTTCTCCTCCTCCCTTCCTCAAATTTCTTCATCTTCATTCTTGTCACGACCCTAAAATCGACCCGGTCGTGATGGCGCCTATCGTGAAACTAGGTCAGCCGACACAACTCTCAAATTAACCATTAATCAATATAAATCATTTTTAAGCTTTTAATTAATCCAAATATCTCATAATGTAAGTCTAATTGAACAGCGCGGAATAAATACACAAGCCCGACATCGGGGTGTCACAAGTCACTAGCATCTACTAAGGTCTGAATACAATGAAGAGTCTGAAATATACTAAAACAATCTAAGGAAGACAAGAGGGAGAAGAGCAGGGCTGCGAACGTCGGACAACTTCCTTGCTAACTCCAATGACTCTGCCACTGAGCAATCAACACCCGCTACCGGGTTCAGAAATACCTGAATCTGCACACAAGGTGCAGGGAGTAATGTGAGTACGCCAACTCAGTAAGTAATAAAAGTAAATGAAAGCTGAACAGTAAGAAAACACGTAACCACGTCAACATGCTACAACAAATGCAGGACATTTCCAACACAGTACAGAAATCATTTACTTCGTAAATCAAGCTCAATTTCAGTAAAAACCTTTGAAAACAATTTTCAATAGTTTCAAACGAGTGATAAAACAGTGAGTAAAAATGATAGAAAACGTAGATAGCCCTTCGGGCAAAACATGTACCATAAACCGCCCCTCGGGCATAATATCAATAGAACCAGCCCCTCGGGCTACCTCACAATCACTCGTAATCAGCTCCTCGGGCATAACATGAATCAAGAACCGCCCCTCGGGCTACATCATATCACACACTGGGTACCCGCGCTCACTAGGGGTGTACAGACTCCGGGAGGGGCCCCTTACGGCCCAATCCCAATAACAAACCATCTCGTGGCATAATCAAACAGGCTCTCGGCCTCATATCAAGCCACCTCGTGGCATAAGAAATCAGGCCCTCGGCCTCATAATCATAAATCAGTACCACACTGCTACGGCACGCAGCCCGATCCCATAATTGCCTCACAACACAGGCCCTCGGCCTCACTCAGTTAGAAATCTCTCATGCTACTCGGGCGGCAGTAAAACATGATGCTCAGCCCAAAATATCATTTAAAATATCAAAACTGGAGTAAATATGGCTGAGTTATGAAAGCAATAGAATATAGCATGACTGAGTACAAATATAAAGTCAAAACAGTGAGGAATAATAGTAAAAATCCCCTAAGGGTCCAAAACAGTTGGCACGAGGCCCAAATATGGCATTCAACCCAAAATATGATAATACTTTCCAAAACACAATGATATCAAACAGTTTTCAATCAAATACGTGGTTTAATAGTAATACGGGACGGAGTAAGTCACAATCCCCAATGGTGCACGACCCCACGCTCGTCATCTAGCGTGTGCGTCACCTCAAAGTAGCACAACGATGTGAAATCCGGGGTTTCATACCCTCGGGACAAACATTTACAAGCATTACTTACCTCAATCCAGTCCAAACTCTAGCCCGCGATGCCCTTGCCTCTCGACTCGGTCTCCAAATGCTCCAAATCTAACCAAATACAGATTTATACCATCAAAATATGCTAAGGGAACAACGCCCACTCAAAAATAACCAATTTACATCTAAAATCCCGAAATTGGCCGAACCTGACCCTCGGGCCCACGTCTCGAAATCCGATAAAAATTACATCAATAAATTCCTTATCCTCTCACAAGTCTATACATACCAAAATCATCAAAATCTGACATCAAATGCCCATTCAAATCCCCAAAAGAATTCTCAAACTATTCTTCCATTTTTTCCCAATTTCCACTCTAATTTCTCAAATTAAATGATAAGAATCAAGACTAAATCATGGAATTAAACCAAATATGAGTGAAGAATACTTACCCCAGTTGCTCCACTGAAAATCTCCTCAAATTTCATCTTCTCCCGAGCTCTCTAATTGTTTTTGTGATATTGGACTTAAACCCTCGATTTTGAACTCAAACATTCTGCCCAGTTATTTCCTTCTTCGCGATCGCGGAAATTGCCTCACGATCGCGAAGCACAAATGATGACTGACCCCAATAAACCTTACGCGATCGCAGAAACACACACGTGATCGCGGACAACAAACTCATCAAACATCGCGATCGCGTAGAGAAATCCCTTCACCTCACGATTGCCCCAAATCCTTCTTCGCGATCGCGACCTTAGCCACGCGGTCGCGATAGCCAACTCCACAGACCTTCGCGATCGCAGACCCAAATTGGCGATCGCATAAGACAAATTTTCCAGCTGCCCTCAACAGACCTACGCGATCGTGAACCCTTCTACGCGATCGCAGAGAACAAAAATCTGCAACAGAACTGAAGCCAAATCTGCAATTTCTCAAACATGCAACTGGTGCGTTTAACCATCCGAAACTCACCCGAGGCCTTCGGGACCTCAACCAAACATGCCAACATATCCCATAACATCATTCAAACTTGTTCCAACCTTCGGAACGCTCAAAACAACATCAAAACACCAAATTTACATCGGATTCAAGCCTAAGAATTCCAAAAACTTTCAAATTCTGCTCTCGATCAAAAAATCTATCAAACCTCGTCCGAATGGCCTGAAATTTTGCACACACGTTACAAATGACACTACTCCAACTTACGGGTTAGGGCATATCGGGTTTAACGTGTTCGGGTTCATCCGGGTAAAAAATGAACCGTACGGGTTACGGGTACAAGGGGCTGGGCCGGGTTAGTGTAATTTTTATTTTTTTTTATTTTGTATAACTATTATAAGTTATATTAATATAAAGTAAAAATATAAAGAATACAATGAAGATGAGAAAAAATTGCGCTTATAAATTGCAAGTACTACATTTATTTCAAAATTACAAAATTGAAGTTTGTATTTAACAAGTTAATTAACGAAAAAAGAGTAAAACTAAATTTTCATGCATAATAATACTTCAAATTAATCTAACAAACTAAAACATCAAGCATAAATACGTCTAATTTTTAAAATAACACAAATTGTCTCAAATCAACTTAAATACGAATTTTTGGAGGACGCTGAAGACAACTTTCTTCATATGCCTCCTTAAACTGCCTGTGCCACACTTTGGACGAAGATTTAAGACTCGACCACAGTTCTTGCACTTTACTTTCTGAACTTCTTCATTTTCTTCTACCACCTCAAAGTGTTCCCAAACATATGAGCGCACTCTAGAAGTACGGGGCATGATTTAACTTGAATTGAGAATTTGAGTTTGAGAAATGAGAGATGAGTGAAAAAATGAAGAAGAGGGGAGTGTATTTATAGTTTTTCAAAGGGCTAAATTAGTAATTACAAAAAGTGTTAAATTTTAAAAAAAATTGGCCCAAAAAAGGGCTAAATGTGCAAAATAGCCGTTGGGCCAACGGTCAGAAAGTAGAAAATTTTTAAAAAAATAATAATTTGAAAGTTGCCGTTATGCCAGTCTGGGCCGGGCCGGTTAACCGGTTCTACAGTAAAAACCGTTGACCGGGTTTGACCGGGCCGGTTAACCGGTAGCCCCAACGTAAACGGACCAACCCCCTTACCCCATTAACCCAGCCCCATCCGCCCCCTTGTATCGGTCCGGGCCGGTTCCGGTTTTAACCGGTCTGGGCCGGTCCGGTTACGGTTAAACCCGACCCGTTAGACACCCTTATCAAACTGAGAACTGTTCTTCCAAATTCTTTCCGATTACCCTGAAAACCAAAACCGACGATTTACATAAGTCATAATACATCACACGGGGCTAGTCATGCCCGAGAACTGGCGAGCGAAGTGCAAAAGCTCAAAACGACCGGTCGGGTCGTTACAATTCTTCATCCCCGTCTGCTTTCTTCTTTCAGTGCTTTTCTTTGATCCTGGTTCATCTCTTAAGTTTTGTGCTCTACTTTGTTGTTGCTATTTAAGTCCCATGTCTCAGTTTTATGGTACTGATAGCCTGTTTGGCCAAGTTTCTCAAGACAAAAAAGTGTTTTTTTTCCCAAAAGCACTTTTTTCCCTAATTTGAGGTGTTTGGCCAAGCTTATTTGGGAAAAAAGTGTTTTTGGGAAGAAACAAGCAGTTTCAGAGAAGTAGAAAAAAGTAGCTTCTTTCCAAAAACAGAAGCAGAAGCAGTTTTGGCTTTTCTTCTTACCTAAAATACCCTTAACAAAATATAGTATATACCAAAATAACCCTTAAACCTAATACTTAGGATATTAATTTATAAATATTTCTTCTTATTTTTAGAAAACTTTCTAATATATAGTGACTTTAGTGGTGAATGCTTTTATATTTGTTGAAGGAATTTTAATATATTTAACTTATATTAAAAGAATTAAGTACTTTTTAATTTTATTTTCATATTTTACTTAAATAAAATGATTTTTTTTTAATTATTGCATGTAATAACAAAATTTTGATATTATTTATTTACTTATAATATTAATTATTAAGTAAATCTATTCATGTCCTTATTCGTAATTTGACACTTAAAAGCACTTTCTAAAAAGCTTGGCCAAACACAAATTATTTCTCAAAAGTGCTTTTCAGACTGATTAGCCAAACACAAACTGATTCTCTCCAAAAGTACTTTTTTCAAAAGCACTTCTCAAAATAAGCTGATTTCTCCGGCTTGGCCAAACAGGCTATAAGTCTTTTGGACCCCTGCAGTTTCTCTATGCAAAGCTTTTTTTCCCCTTGAAAATACTGTCTATTGAATTCTAGCTTCATTTCATCATTTGGTTAGGTTTCTGCTGAACCTTATGCCTCACTTTGTTTTCTTTCCATGCTTATTTAACATAATTTTTCTCTTCTTCTAATTTTAACTGTTCAATACTTAATTTGTTCTTTAACTCATTGCTTCTTTGCTTTAAATTTAATTGCTATTGGTAATGTTAGCATTTATTACGAAGATCATTTGTCTGAGAAGTAACAAATATTCAGTTACCAAAGCTCATTACTTGAAGGACTACATCATTTAATGATATCTTTCTGGATTATTACCTTCGTAAATGTAATGAAGATTTCACTGACTTAAATTTATTGCTTAATAAAAGGTGTAGACTGATAGTTCCTTTTTTCCTTCGCAGACAGATGATTTGCAGGATCATATCATTATTTGTGGATTTGGTCGTGTTGGCCAGGTTTTGCCCCCTGCTTCATGAATTGGTTAAATTGATCATTTGACAGAATGATTTTCAAACTTTGGTTGAAGCTGTTTCCATCTACTGCCTGTTGAATTAGTTTTCATCTTAACAGATCATTGCCCAACTTCTCTCCGAGCGACTGATTCCGTTTGTTGCACTTGATGTGCGAAGGTATGATTCTCTTTTTACCCACATTCAACTGATTTCAGCTCCTGTAGGTTCAGTGAAGATTTCATCTGCTGTTTGTTAATCTGACATAGAATTTTTTCTTCCATGATGTCATTTCCTGATATGGTGGTTCTAAAATTTTATATTTTTCGTAAAAGAAAAGAAAAAATGCAGGAGGAAGAACAACTTACATCTTTTGAGGTGTAAGTGACTTTCTACCTCAGATCTCTATATTCCTATCCCGTGCTTACGTTTTCTCACCACCATGTCATAACTTACAAAGCAGCACCTCCACTATCAACTACTCTTAAAAGCCACCAGATCTTTATAGCTGACCAAATGTAAGAAAATGGTTTTTCTTTATAAGATATTATGTAGTTTGTTAATTGTGAGTCATCAGTCATTATCAACCTTTAGGATATTAAAGTAAAAGTTTTTGTTTTTCTCTCTCTATATAAAATGTTCATATTCATGCATGCATCGAAGGGATGACAGTGAAAGAGAATCAGATGATGGTTTTCCTGTAAGAGTGCCAGTGCCAGTGCCAAGCCAGAGAACTGAGGAAACTGGTCCAGAACAGAGAAGTCCTTAATTGGACTTTTAGATATTTCACAAATCAGCTATGTTGCACGGACTCCTCATTTCAGCGCCGCACCCGTGTCTACATGACACTAGTAAGGGTAAGGGTGTGAGATTCATACCGGATGTGGTCAACCCGACATCGGATACTTTGACCACAATCCATGGACAAGTTTGAGGAAAAAAATGGGACTTTGATTTCTCAAGATAAAAGTTAGTACATATTTTAAGACATGGGAAATGACATAACTTCAATAGTCCACCCGTATCCGTGAAATGTGTATCTGTATCTGGATCCCCACACCAGATAATTTAGGATATTTCTATAAATCTATCTTTAGAATTTTGAATTATTTTTTGCCGAATCCCCGCACCCGTATCTGTATCTGGATCCCGTATCCCTGAATCTTAAAATTTAGATTATGAAGGATCCATCTTTGGATCCGCACCCAGATCGGATACCCACACCCGAGTCCGAGCAACATAGCAAATCAGATATGAATTAGAATCAAAGTTGGTTCCCAACCAAAGCTTGTAATGTTGCTCTCTATAGTACTCTTAACTACTTAGATGGATTGTGCGGCTGTATGCAGTATCTTATGTGTAGACATGATTACCNGTAGAGTGATATGGATGATGATTCAATAGCTTATCATCATGTATCATTCTACACTAGTCCTTCACAATGTTATCACATATGGCTTTCTCAAGGTTTCATTCAAATTCAGCGGCCTATTACCTCTTTATGTGATACAGTGATTTTAAAGCACTTCACAACTGCATAATCCCACAATCCCCTCCCTAAAATATTAAATCAGAGTGATTTTTTCGAACTTTTTGTTAGAAAATGATATACCTCAAAGCTGAAATGCGTATCATAATTTATGATTGGATAGAGATTTGTTCTACTGTATACTTTAACATTCTTGACGGGAAGGACCAATTGTTGGATCTTCTGATGCAATAATCTAGCTGCGCACTGCATTTTGCATCTCGACCTCTTTGTAGTTTGCTTTTGGCAATCTATAACCATCGTGAAGCAAATAAAATTATGAGTATACATTGTGTCTTCTAGGCTAAGCTGCCAATGTCAGAGATAGCGGCAACAATCAACGAGTTTAGGTCCCGCCACCTCTCTGAGCTTACTGAGGTAAATTATAATTGCACTACTTGTCTTAGCTTTTGGAATGTTGTACGAGGTTTCATAGTTCAGATTTTGTTAGATATTTTATGCAGCCCACTGGATTTTGTTTTGCAGCTATGTGAAACTAGTGGAAGTTCTCTAGGCTATGGATTTTCTCGTGTGGTGAATAAAGGCAAAGTTCAGCCTCCAGATTCTTCGGATGAGAACCAAGTCAGTGAAGGAACACTAGCAATATGATTACCATTAGAAGAAACAGGGATTTGCATTGATTGGACCCCAAAAAAAAAAAAAAAAGGAATTGAGAAGGGAAGATACTCCTTATAAGTGTATAGTGTTTTACTTAACCCTTGTTCTTGAAAATTGTACAGAAGAAATATGTTACGTAGCAAGCAACAAGCTATGCAGGACAGCAAATCTATTGGCATAACCCAAGGGCAGCTCAAGGGGAGGCTGGTAAAGCCTTCACTTTAGGCTACCAAAATTTAAGGGCCCTGAAATTTTTTAAGGGCAAATAGCATTTTTGATTCCTGTATTATTGTTTTATTCTGATTTTAGTCCTCAATTTAAATGTTTGATATTGCTCCTTTAACCTAACTGATGTTAAATAATTTACCGTATTACTGTTAATTGAAGTAAAGGGAGGACTTGACCCATTGCTTCAACCTGATCATCACCATTACTGATTTAGGAAAATAAACCAGGAAAAATCACCCACGTTTTGAACAAATCTATCAAAGATTTCAATTGCGTAGACATCCACCGTGAATGTTTTCTTGGTCGCCACATTCGTCAATAGCCATACGCCCATACCTATGGAAAGCATCAAACAACCTAGACCTGCATACATTATCGAGCAATATAGCAGGTGGTATTCACACATGGATTATTGTTAATTTGTTAAAATGAGCCCTAGGTCTGCCATTGATGAGTGATCGAAGATTACTAAATGTTATCTTCTAGATAGAGAGAGAAGGGGCTGGAAGGGAAAATATCTTTTTCTTATCAACAGAAGCTCAATCTTAAGAAATGATCTGTACAAGCCTATTTATATACTAGTTAATTCTAACCTCCACTAACTTTAATATGACCAATTAACTAACAATACAACTATCACATAGCTCACTTAACTAATCTTCTAGAACACTACTACTTAAATAGCACAATGTACAATCACTACAAGTTATACATCTCAACACTCCCTCTGAAGTTGAGAATGAGAAAATATTTTTCATTCCCAACTTGGATAGTAGCACAACATGTTGCTAGTGTCCCAAAGCCTTAGTCAAGATATCTGTAGGTTGCTCTTGGTTGGGAATGTATGAGGTCTTGATTAAGCCTCCTTGAATCTTCTCTCTTATGAAATGACAGTCTATTTCTATATGCTTTGTTATCTCATGGTAAATTGGATTTGCAGCAATCTGTAGGGCAGCCTTGTTGTTACAGAATAGCTCTATAGACAATCTTACACTCACTTTCAACTCCTTTAACATACCACTTAACCAAACCAACTCTGCAACTGTGTGTGCCATGCTCTTATACTCGGCCTCTGCTGAGCTTCTAGAGATGGTATTCTATTTCTTTGCTTTCCACGAAATGAGTGAACTCCCGAGCTTGATGCAGTACCCAGTGACTGACTTTCTGGACATGGGACAAGAAGCCCAATTCGAGTCACAATATGCTTCTATTTTTTGCTCACTTTTGCTTGACATTAGCAACCCAAGTCCCGGCTGATTCTTTATGCATCTAACCACATGTAGTGCTGCTTCATAATGTGACTTCTTAGGTGAATGCATAAATTGGCTTAGACATTGAAATGCATATGCAATGTCTGGCCTTGTTATTGTCAGGTACAATAGCTTGCCAATCAGTCTCTGAAATCTCCTCGTATCCTCTAAAGTTTCATCATTGTCACAAGTCTTCAGACATTCATTAAACTCAGTACTTGTCAGTTTGAGGTTTTGCTCCATGGGTGTCTCTTTTGGCCTTGAACCTGCCAATCCTACATCTGAAATCATATCTAAAACATATTTCCTTTGGGACATAAAAATACCCTCAGTTGATCTAGCAAATTCTATCCCCAAGAAATATCTTAAGTCTCCCAGATCTTTCAACTTAAAATTTTGGTGCAGTGTAGATTCTGCTCTCTGAATTTCTTCCAAATCATTCCTTGTAATAAGCAAGTCATCTACATATACAAGTATCAGCACAAATTTGTCATTCATAGTTTTGGTAAAGAGAGAATAATCATATTTGCTTTGCTTAAAATCACCTTTCAATAAATCTTGGGTCAATTGTAAGTTCCATTGTATGGATGCTTGTTTTAACCCATATAGGGATTTAAGTAGCCTGCATACTTTAGTCTTCCCCTGGATACTAAATCCCTATGGTAGAGTCATATATACTTCCTCATCAAGATCCCCATTTAAAAGGGCATTATGAACATCCATTTGGAAAATTGGCTAATTCTGAAGAGCAACAGTTGCAACTACAGTTCTAACAGTAGTAAGCTTAGCTATAGGGGAGAAGGTGTCATGAAAGTCTAAATCTTCTTGTTGAGTATACCCCTTAGCTACAAGTCTAGCTTTGAACCTTTCTACAGATCCATATGCATTGTACTTTATTTTATAGACCCATTTGCAGCCTATTGGAACCTTTTCTTTAGGTAAGTCAACTACTTCCCAAGTATGGTTATCTTCTATAGCTTCAATCTCAAGCTTCATAACCTTGATCCATATGGCTTAAGAGTAAGAGGATGGTTCTGTATCAGTAGAAAGGGTAGCAAGGAAAGACTGAAACTGAGTGGGAAGATGGGAATAGGATACAAAGTGTTGAAGAGGGTAAGAGGTAGTAGGATTAATGGTTGATGGTAATGGAGGATGGACATAGTCTGTCAGCCAAATAGAAGGCTTAATGGTCCTACAATATCTCCTAGGAGGAGTTGTAGTTGGATTCAAAGCAACAGAAGGTGAAAAAGTAGGTACTGTAGATTGAACTACTTCTGGACGAGGAGTAGGTGGTGTGCCTTCTGGTAAGGAAGGAGGATCAGATAATATAGGAGAAAGTGGTTGACTAAGAGTGGATTCAATACAGGTAGGAGGTGAAATAATTGAGTTAGGTGTAACAGGAGAATATGAAGGGAAGTAAGAAGAGTCTAAGAAAATAGGACTAATATCAGGTCTACAAAAGAAGTAATTTCTAGGAAATTTGAATGGAAAGACATTCTCTTTGAAGATGACATCTCGACTGACTATGAATTTGTCAGCTTCAATGTCATATACTTTGTAACCTTTTTGAGTAGGAGCATATCCCATGAACTCTCATGGTATTGATTTTGGAGTGAATTTATCACTAAAATTTGGTTTTGTGGCATAACATAGACAACCTAAAGTCCTTAAATGATCAAGAGCAGGAGGACAACCATGAAACATCTCGTAAGGAGATTTTCCATGCAGCACACAACTAGGAAGTCTGTTTATGACATATGCTGCAGTCAAATGCAGTCACCCCAAAATTTTAGAGGAATAAGAGCCTGGAATCTCAAGGCTCTACTCACTTCAAGTAAGTTTCTATGCTTTCTCTCCACGACTCCATTTTGCTGTGGAGTGTGGTTACAACTGCTTTGATGTATGATACCCTTGGATTTGAAGAGGTTAGAACAAAGAATATTGAAGAATTCATAGCCATTGTTTGATCTGACTATTTTTATTGTGGTGGAGAACTGATTGTTTACAAGGTTAAGAAAGTCATTCAAGATAACATACACATCACTCTTTAATCTCAAAAGGTAAATCCAAGTCATTCTTGTATAGTCATCAACAAGAGTAAGAAAATATCTGAAGCCATTAAAGGTACATACTCGATAAGGACCTCAAATGTCCATATGAACAAGTTTAAAAGCAGAAGTTGAATTAGAAGCACTACTAGGAAAAAGTAATCTTGTTTGTTTAGCTAATGGACAAACAATACAATCACAAAAATTTGTTTTTAACAAAAGCTTACTTTAGGTAGGTATTTTCTATAAGACTAAATAGGGTGCATGACCAAGCCTTTGATGCCACAGAACCCTTGATTTATTCTGAACAGAGGTAGACAGATAGGTAGAGTTAGAGGAACCAACAACAGGTGTTAAATGGTTGAGAATGTAGAGTCCACCTTGATATTTACCAATCCCCTTCACCCTGCCACTGAAGAGGTCCTAAAATACACAAAAATCAGGATAAAAGTGAATTGAGTTGTTTAATTCTCGTGTGTATTTGGAAACAGATAAAAGATTATATTGGAATTGAGGTACATAAAGAACGTTATATATTGTTTCTGAGTTAGGCAGAGTACACATGTCTATGTGAGTGATTTTAGTACTATATCCATTAGGCAAATGTACTTAGGCAGACTTAAAAGTAGGTGTAGGTGTATGACTAGATAATTGATTCAAGGAAGAAGCCATATGACTTGAAGCCCCAGTATCAATAATCCAACTAGCGTGATCAGTATTGACTTACCTACCATATTAGCCATCACTTCTGTTTCTTTTTCCTTACTTAGCATTTTTAGAATTTGCTGATACTGTTCAACAGTAAATGTAGGAGTATTTGGGAAACACATGTTAGGCGAAACCACATTTCCTGGAGGAACATTCTGCATCTCTTCCTTGACATTCACATTATGTGCAACTACAATAGGATTGCCATGCACTCCCTTCTTTTTATTGTTGAATTTGAAGTCTGGAGGGTATCCTATGAGTTTGTAATAGGAGTCCCTTAGATGTCCCCTCATCTTGCGATAATCACATTGTAGATTAAAATTCTTCCTTGGCCTCATGCCATCATTAGCTGTAATTAAGTGACTATTTTCCATCTCCATAGGCGCACTACCTAGAATGCCATTATGTGTCATGAGTCCACTACTCATTCTCTAAATTTCCTCCTGAATAAGCATCGAATATGCCTAATCGAGTAAGGGTGTAGGGTGCATCATCAGAATTTGACTCGTCTGTGGTGCATAGGTTTCGTTTAACCCTATTAAGAACTTCAAAAGCTTTTGTGTATGCAGAAATTCAACAAAAGTCTTAGATTTTTCATAGTCATAGTCGGGGAAAGGGATAATTAATTCAAATTCGTCCCATAGGTCGTTTAACTTTGAGAAATAAACTGACATACTAGAAATTCCTTGAGTTAAACAACTGATTTCCTTGTCTATGTGGTAAATCTTAGAAGCATTTACCTTATCAAACGATTTTTAAGGCTTCCCAAACCTTTTTAGCATTTGATGAAAACACAATTCCTCGCCTCAATTCCTTCGCAACAAAGCTCATAATCCACAATTGTACTATTGCATTGCACCTATCCCACTAGTGTAGTTGAAATAGATCTTTCTCATAATCCTCTCGCACACAGGTTCCATTAATGAAGCCGATCTTATTCTTCACTAATAGTGACATATTCATAGATCGAATCCATTCTGAGTAATTTTCTGTCCCTATCAACAGTTGCGGAACAAGTGAAACACCAGGTGTATCGGATGGATGAACATACAGTGGATCATTACAATCAAGCAATTGATTGTTTGCATGTGATGTTCCAGCTGTACTTT